TCTCTCTCTCTCTCTCTCTCTCTCTAAGTTATATATTTATAATAGATGTTTATTTTTAGCGGCATTATTATAGCTTACGATTACTTTGGGCCTAAACTACGGACACATAGCCTGCAATCGTATTTTCAATTTGTATTTGAAAAGTAATGTAGATTTTTGCCTAAACTTATTGGACCTATTATTATAGTGGAGTATATTGTAATGTTCCTGGACTCGGGGCCCTTTATCAATTCATTTATAGAAATAAACAAGTGCAAGGTCAATTATTGGAAGTCCATATTGTTTATTAGCAATTTCGATGTCAACGCAATGAACATGGTAAGTTTTAAAAAAAATAATTTATGTTATTTCAATATAGCACTTTTTCTACTAACATAACGTATTTCTTATTTATACTTGTTAATATTATATTATTTTATATTATATTATATTATATTAAATAATAATATAATTTAGGCATAAAAACTAATTATTAAAATAATTGTCATATTTATTATATCTTGATAAAATACATTTTAAAATTATATTATAAATGGTTTAAAATATATAACTTTGTTTACACAAACCAGTGTCCGCAACAAAGTTTCATGTTAATCAACATATTTCAACTTCAAATCCTATGCCCAATACTTATGGTATTAATGAGATGGTCAACAAAATATGGTCTAATAGTCAATACTATGGCACTATTAATGGCCATGTTTGCCAATATAATTCCCCGATTGTATCATGGTTATAAAATCGTACCACACGAGTTGTGGCAAATGACTGACATTTACTTAATAAAGACATCATTTGTGAGATTTATCTCATTTCCGGATCAGATTATGTCGGTGTTTATTATGGGATTAATTGTTGGTTACCTAATACGCAAAAAACGTCATATCATTGCACACATGATTAAAAATAAAATACAAAAATTTGTTGCATCGGTCATATGTTTTACGATAAGTATATCCAGTATTGTTTGGAGCGAACATTTCAAAGATGTCAATGTAGTGCCCAATGAAATAAATCTACTCAGCTGGTACGTTTGTGGTAAACTATTATGGTCAGTCGGTATTATATGGATAATTATCTTGGTTCACTTTAGCAAAAATGGTAATATTTTTTAAATGTTTAAATACTTTTTTAAACAAGTTTATATAACGTGTAACTTTTTAGGAATTATAAATACCATGTTGTCATCGAGAATATTTGCTGCGATATGTCGATTAAATTTTGCTATTTATATGAATGTTATTACAATTGCAAATTTTCGTATATTTACCAGAAGGGAAAATATTGCAATTAATCACCTTAATCAGGTAAGAAATTTTATTTCATAAGTTAATAATTGCAATAATAATAGAAATAATTAAGTTAAATATTTTTATTAGTATTGTTATTATAAATACAATATTGGATTTATGTAGTTCAATTGTATGCACATTGTTTTATCATGTTAATATTTATATTAATTTTTAATTTAATTTTAGATACAAATCTATTACATGGATTTGACGGTCGGTTTAATTGTCTCGTATTTGTTATACTTATTGATTGACTTTCCGTTTATTAATTTGTTGGAAAGTTTCAAAACTCAAACAAATCATACAATTAATGCAAACAATCATAACATTAATAGTAGTAATAATGACATTAATGCTAATATTAATAAAGACATGGATGTAAATGAATTAGTTGTTTACAGCAAAAGGCAAACAAAACATGTATTTGAATAAAAATATTTCTATTAAAAACTAATCACTGATTGAATCAAACGATTATTTAATTATAAATTCCTAAAATATTATTAATTTATGAAATTTTAAAAATAATTTATAAATGTAAAATGAAATCTGATGATTTTTAATATTTTCACTGTTAATAAATCTTATCATTTACATAAATTAAATAATAACATTATTTTTTATTACAAAATAATGAATGTAATTATTTATACATTATAAAAATCTTATACCTTTGTATGATTAGTAAATTTTTATATAATGATATAAATAGAAATCTTATTATAGAGATAATTGCTTAAATAACTTGATAAAAGTTTATAATCATTTTACATATTTTGAGTTTTATATAATATGTTGTTTAATTATATAAATTCAGAATTTATCAAGTGCTAAAATATCAAGTAAATAACAATTATAATGCTATTTAATAGTATACAAATAGTATTTGTGTAGGTAGTAAGATATTTTATAATTAATAAAATTTTAATTACTTTTAATTTGCAATTATTTTAAAAAAATATAATATTTGTTTTAATAGTTTTATACTTAAATATATTCAACATTCATTATTATCTCAATTCAGATCATATTGGTAATAAAAATTGTCAATATAAAAACTATTAATTGAAATAATTATTATTGCCCTTCAATATTTAAATAACTTTAAAAATTACCATTTTTAACTTTGTTGATTAACTTTAATGTGTTTGGATACGCATAAATTTTGTCATTTAACATTGTTAACTTAATATGATAAATTGATTTTTAAATATGGTTGTTAACACATTATTCAATGGATTTAATAAACAATTGTATTTGATCTTGTTTATATTAATATGTTATACACATTATGCTCTCTCAGAGACTGATCCCAATTATAATGCAACACAAAATTGCAATAATTGTAATAATAATAATAGATTTTACGAAAAACAAAATAATTATAAGTTCTTAAATAATAGTTTATTTGTAAATAAACTTAAAAGACTGCTTAAGAATGGGTTTAATATCAGTGAAGGTTTTAATGACATCAATAATAATGTGAAATATTTGCATAAGTTTTATACGAGTATTGAATCCAATATACGGCCCGTAAAACACAAACTGAAGGCATCGGCGCTTCAATTCATGTATTCAATGGATATAACATCTGATTGTTTGGACTCATTGTTCACATGGTTTAAAGCCTTACAGCGAAATGAGTTGTGGGCCTATCAAAGTAAATTACCTTACTAAACTTTTATACTTTATTATCTACATTTAATCTGTATATAAATATATACATTTGTAAATTCTTCAATATAACCAATATAAGATTTTCTTATTTTAAAATAATTAATACATTTTAGACTTTTTAAAGATTTTTAAATTTAAATGGTTTTATATAATATTATTTATTTAAAATAACATTCTATAAATATGCTATAAAATTTTGTATCTTTATATAATTGCTCTAATCTCATATTAAAAGTAATAGTAAAATTTAAATTGACCATTTTTATGTACAGTATTTGATTCAATGGGTAAAATACCTTCGGGTCTATCGGATGGCGTTATCACAAGTTTTGGTGATTACGACCAGTGCTTAGCCGTTAAAAGCGGTCCACAAATGAATACCAAAACAATTTATGGCAAATACTGTTTAGTAAAACCAGTCATTCCTCTCAACAATACCGACCAATTAATGCAAATCAATGGCTTTGATATATTGAATAATGAGACAAATACCTGGATCAAAAGTCAAATAAGCACCAACATCAATAAAATTAAAGTTATTTTAGCTATGAATATTTTTACTGAAAAAATCTATGGCCTTTATCACGGAGTTTGCATACCATCGCAATGTCGGGCACAAGATTTGGAAACATTTCTTAACACAGGTTTGTTATTAATTATTGTTATAATATAATTTGGCTAAAGTTGATTAATCATTTTATTAATTTACTATGTAACTATGGTAGTATTAGGCCCACTCATAAGGCTAAATATTGAAGTGGGTCCACATTGCGATATTATTACCGATCCCATTGACTGGTCTTTATTTTATACAGCAATTGTGTATGTAAATTATTTATTTACTTAATTATTTACTTAAACTAATAATTTTAATACATAAATATTTTTAAACCAGGTGCATTCCAATATTTTCTATCACCATGATGGTATTATCCACAGTGTATGGCTTAATTAAAACAAATTCCAATAATACAACAATTGGCCTAGATCGATTTTCAATGAAAAACGTGTTTAACATATTTATCAAATCATTTTCATTGTCCGAAAGCAATAGTAAATTATTCAGTCCTTTAGGCGACCGATTGCTTATCGGGGAAGCGATGCTATTATTTGCTATACTATGGTTGACAATAGCGTTTAATTATATCCTCATTATTACAACTGGCCTAGTTGGTTATAAAAAAATTTTAAATAGTTTTTTGTTAGACATAATGCTGGATTCAAAATATTTTTGGTTACGCTCTATCTATCCAAGAGATATGATTGGTTTATTATGGTATAAATTTTTATTTAAATTAATACACGTTTTATTACAATTAGAACTAGTTTTTAATGTTAAAACTATGCCAATAATCTTGGTTATAAAATTTAATCTACTGTATACTTATGTATTATAACTTATACTTATAAACTACTAATAAATAGTTTATTCTATACATTAATAATACAGTATATTAACATGTTAGTAAACATTAATTAATTATTCTACATAGTTAATATTTAATTTAATTTATTTTTAGCGGAATTATTATAGCCTACGATTATTTTGGACCTAAACTACGGACACATAGCCTGCGATCGTATATTCAATTTGTGTTGGAAAAGTGGTTTAGATTTTTACCTAAAATAATCGGATCTATAATCTTGATGAATATTTGTATAATGTTGGCCACCGGGCCATATGTCAGTTCAATGAGAAGTGTAAACCCGTGTCCCACCAATTATTGGATGTCGTTATTGTTTATTAACAATTTTGACACAAACATGACAAACATGGTAAGAAAATGGAGTTGGAATTTAACCATTATCATAAACATTATAATAAACAACAAAATAATAGCACAGTACATTAATTTTATATGCCTTTTATTCTGCCGTTTATTCATAATGGTATAGATATTTTTAATAAAATGCATGATACTAAATTCAAAATTCAGCGTAATTAGTGTAAATTTAATAAAATTAATAATGAAAAAATTATTTACCAAATAGTGTCCGGTAAGCGGTTTCCCATTGAGCGCTATATTTCAACTTCAAATCCTATGCCCAATACTTATGGTACTAATGAGATGGTCACCAAAATATGGGCTAATACTCAATACGTTGGCACTATTGATGGCAATGTTTGCCAATATAATACCCAGATTGTATCATGGTTACAAAATACCTCCACAAGAGTTATGGCAAATGAGCGAGATTAATTTAATGGAGGCATCATTTGCGAGATACATGTTATTTACGGATCAGATTATGTCTGTGTTTATTCTGGGATTAATTGTTGGTTACCTAATACGCGCAAAACGTGATATTATTGCACACATGGTCAAAAATAAAATGCAAAAATTTGTTGGATCGGTCATATGTTTTAGCATTACTATCTCGAGCGTTGTTTGGAGCGAAAAGTTCAAAGATGTCAATGTAGTGCCAAATTATTACAATCTAATAAGCTGGTTTATATGCGGTAAATTATTATGGTCCGTAGGTTTTATTTGGTTAATCATCATGGTTCATTTTGACTCAAAAGGTAATATTATAAATAATTTTTGTAGTTTGTATAAACATTTGTATTTTATATTTAATTACTTTTAGGGATAATTAATAAAATATTATCTACGAGAATATTCGCCGCGTTTTGTAGACTTAATTTTGCAATTTTTATGAATTGTTTTGCTATCGGAAATTTTCATATATTTACCAGGCGTGAAAATATGGCCATCACTCATATAAATCAGGTTAGTAATTTTAATAACATTAACTGTATATACAATTATCATTTTATACATAGGGCAAATTAGAAGTAAATGCATTTAAAATATAGCGCTAAAATATACCTAAATAACATATAGCTTATAGTAATTAGTACTTTGCAGATTACTTAAATGTACCTGGTACCTGAAAATTAATGCATTAAAAGAATATTTAAAAAATAATATAATTATATTATATTTTAATTAAATTAATTTTCATTTATTTATTTAATAATTTAGTTACAAGTCTTTTACATGGATATGACGGCCACTTTGATTCTCTCGTATTTGCTATACGTATTGATTGACTTTCCGTTTATTAATTTAATTGATAACTTTAAACAACAAACAACTCATGCAATTAATGCAAACATTTTTGATAATAATATTAATAATAATGAAAATGAAAACATTAATGACAGGAATATTAATGAATTAATTGTTTACAGCAAAAGGCAAAATAAATATGTTTTTGAATGAACAGTCTATAATAAAATGATTTAAAAGCTATATAAATGTTAACAATAAATTTACAAATATTATTCAAAATAATAAATAATATTTAAAAAATAAAATCTAACTATAATCAAACAAAAATGTCTGTATTTAAGTTTAATTTAAAATCGTGTTGATTGTTATAACTTAATAGAAACATTTTACTAACAAAATAAAATAATATTATATTGCTAAATATAATTATGGCTTTTTTGTATAAAATTTTTTTTCAACAAAATCCAAATTTTGGTACCCCAATAAATATAAATATCTAATTTAATAAATTAATATAAATTTATTATAACAAACTTGATACAGTTTATTTGCTAAGTTTACTAGTTGAAATACTGCAATTTTTATTATGACATTAAACTTACTTTAGTATTTGCAACTATTTTAATACTATTGTGTATATTAAAAATAAGTTTTCATGTATTACAACAAAACTTATTTTAATAAGAATCATTTAAAATCTAAAATTTAAATCTTGATAATATTTTTGCGGTTAGCTCCAAGCCAGAAAAACTTATTGCAACCAAATTACATTTATATAGACATTGTTATATAATAGTGTACAGTTTATTTGCTAAAATTTAAAATAAATATAATTATAAATATTAATTAAATATAATTTTTGCTAATTTAATTAACATTAAATTTTTTGAATTAAATATTAGGTTAACAACTATTATGATATTGTATTTAATAAACAACTTCATATTAAACTTCATATTAATTATTTACCTTAAATAGAAAAAAATATATATCTATTTAAATATAAAATTTTAATACATTGATATTTGTAAAATATAATTACAAAAAAATTGTTATAACTTTGCATACTCTGTATTTTAAAAACACTACATCTAAATGTATTTAAATATTTAAAATATTACATAATAAAAATAGCATTAACCAAACATGCAATAAATGTTGTACGAATTATTTAATTAAAAATTACTAGTTAGAAAGTTATAATTACTATAAAAACTTTATATTTATTAAAATAAATGCCCAACCTGAGTAATAAAAAATAATTATACAAACAATTTGCAGTTTACTTACTAAATATATTAATTAAAATATTTTACTAAAACATCCAAGTTATTTTAAATATTTTAATTGATTATTAATAACTATGTTGCTTGAAAATGGGTTTTCACAATAAATACATGTAATCTTGTTTAACAAAATATTTTGTATATAATTGATAGACAATTTCCCTGTATATAAAATTTATATTCTAAACACAAACTACACCAATTTAATAAAACTCCCTACCCCTCCCGGAGCACAATCACGTGACTTATTCGCAGGTGCTTCAAATCATAATTATTTACTAATATGACAAAGTTATTTTAACCTGTTTAACATATTTATATTGGATTTTATTGTACAAGGTCAAAATACTAGTTCTCTTTAAAAGTAAAACTACACAAAATATTAATACATTTTCTTGTGTAATAGAAATAACAACATTTACTTTTGCTTAGCGTATAATTGCATTATAAATGATTGGGGGATTCCCATTTTGACTATTCCAGTTAGGTAAAATTCAAAGTAATTTTATTTTTACAAGTTTCTGTGCACTGTAGTAATTGTTTACAAAACATGGGCATATAAAAAAATGCTAATAAAGTTATACCGTATTGTATATATTACGCAACAAACATGCACTCATGAAAAGTAGTGTTGTTAAAGTAAAATTGTGTTTTTTTTGTTGTAAAAATTTACCCTAATTGCGTGACCGACAGAAACACAAAGTAAGTACTTTCTATTGATATTAACTGTCATAAAGAGTCGGCTATAATTGAAAATGTGTCATTATGCATTTTTACTTGTGAAAGTGATTATTTAACAAATAATATTTTATTTTATATGATTTTTTATTTAACATGTACTATTTAATTTACATGTAATACACTGTTTATTATCTCGAAAAGTATTGCTAGTAATGTCATTTAGCATATATTTAAATTATAATAACTATTAATGAAAACTTTTGACCTTCATTACATGTGTTATATAAGTTTAAACAAATTTACAAAATTGTTTTAATTTATAAATTAAATGCCAAACTAGTGATAAGTGATAAGTCAAAAGTGTGCTTAATGTGCTTGATTTATTAGTTTTATAAAATTTCTACAACAATATTTTATAAAACATTAATTACCAATGTCAAGTGCGTTTATTAATCCAAGCACCATGCAATTATATTTCATTTTGTTTACATTTATGAGTGTTTGTTTAAATGCAAATTATGTGCTTTCAAACACGAATACCAACATTAATTTAACACAAAATTGTACGCATTGTGTTAATAATGGGTCACCCATTAATGAACATAATTTAACCAAGGTGAAGTTGAATAAGTTTGCAAATATTAGTTTAATTGTCAACAAAGTTAAAGGGATGGTTGAGAAGCGGTTTAATATTAGCGATAGTTTTGATGAGATTAATAATAATGCAAAATATTTGCATAAGTTTTATGCGAGTATTGAATCCAATATACGGCCCGTAAAACACAAACTGAAGGCATCGGCGCTTCAATTCATGTATTCAATGGATATAACATCTGATTGTTTGGACTCATTGTTCAAATGGTTTGAAGCCTTACAGCGAAATGAGTTGTGGGCCTATCAAAGTAAGTCACCATGTTTAATCTTCATAAATGCAATTATAAGTATCTTATCATACTTGTACAATTAGTACAATTTATAATTAATTTTTACTACAAGTTTTATTTACTTATTATAAGCGCTACAATTTTCGTATAAATATTGTATTAATTTATAAGTTTAATAACAAAATAATAAATAATTATAACTTAACCACATTAAAATAGTATAAAACTAAATTTTATAATATGTTGACAATTACTTATTTACGTAAATGCTTACCGATGATGTAGATTAAATATAATTTTACTTAATCTTAATATAATCTATTTATTGTAGCTATAATATTTATTATCTAATTATATATTTATTATAGATACATAATTACTGTTATTAGTAATTAAAGCTTTGTTTAAAAAAATTTAATAATAAAAATAAAACCTTGTTAGTGCAGATAACGACCGCAGTAATTGACATGATAATGTAAATAACATAGGTATAATATTTATATAACCATGCATAATAATTAGAGTGCAAGTGCATGAATGTTCAAACCTCGTTCATATGAACTCAAAGTAATCACACAATTATTTCACAATGGTCATTTCCTCAAACAATTTATTTTTATTTTTTACGCTATCATTCAAATAATATATAGATAATAATATTGTTAGTTAATACCACTTACTGTATATTTATATAACACATGTACTAACTTAATGTCTGATGGTTATAAAAACAATAATTACACTTAAAAATTCATGCCCTGACTTTGCACTAATACAAATAGCATGCTGGTAATGTAAATGTAAATAGCTTAATTATTTTTGCTTATATTCACAGTATTTGATTCAATGGGAAAACTCCCGTCGGGTCTATCGGATGGCGTTATCACGAGTTTTGGTGATTACGACCAGTGCTTAGCCGTTAAAAGCGGTCCACAAATGAATACCAAAACAATTTATGGCAAATACTGTTTAGTAAAGCCAGTCATTCCCCTCAATAATACCGACCAATTAATGCAATTTAATGGCCTTAATATATTGAATGATGAGACTAATAACTGGATTAAAAATCAAATAAGCACCAATATTAATAAATTAAAACTAATTCTTACTACTAATGTAATTAGTAATAAAATCTATGGCTTTCATTATGGTGTTTGCATACCATCGCAATGTCGGGCACAAGATTTAGAAAAATTTCTTAATACAGGTTAGCAATAATCTATATTTATAAACATAATAAAATATATTACATAAATCATTATGTTAAACTTAACAATATATTGTTTTAACAGTTTTAGGCCCAATAATAAGGATCCCAATTGAAGTCGGCCCTAATTGCAGTACAATTACGGATACTATTGAATATAATTTATTCAATATGACCATAATGTAAATTATTTGATCATTAGATTATATGTGATAGATAGATGTTATATATTAATATTCACATATTTTTAATTACAGATGTGTTACATTATTTTCAATCATCATGGTTATACTATCAACACTTTATGTTATAAACAAAACAAAATCAAATCATTTACCAATTGTCTTAGATAGATATTCAGCAAAAACTGTGTTTAACATAGTTGTCAACTCATTTTCATTATCCGAGAGCAACAAAAAATTGTTCAGTCCTTTAGGCGACCGATTGCTTATCGGGGAAGCGATGCTATTGTTTGCCATTACATGGTTTTCGGGGGCAACTCATTATACACTGAGCGCCACAACTGGTTTCGTTGGTTATAAAAAAATATTTAATAGCTTTTTGTTGGACATAATGCTGGACACTAAATATTTTTGGTTACGCACATTGTATCCGCGGGATATGATTGGTTTATTATGGTATGTATTTACCTTGAAGCTTATTTATAATCTTTTTGTAAAACTGTATTACTAATTTGTTTATTAAGATAAATTTATAGTATTAATACATTATTATTAATACAATAGTATTAGTATATCGATACAGTAGTTATATTGTAATTATTTTTTATTTAATTATTGCAGCGGAATTATTATAGCCTACGATTATTTTGGCCATAAATCACGTATACATACTCTGCGATCGTATATTCAATTTGTATTGGAAAAGTGGTCTAGATTTTTGCCTAAAATTATTGGGCCAATCATTTTAACCAATATCATCGGAATGGTAGTTAGCGGACCAATTGTCGACTCAATGAGAGATATAAACCCGTGTCCCACCAATTATTGGAAATCATTATTATTTATTAATAATTTTGACACAAATTTAACAACCTTGGTGAGAAATTAATATTTTTATAGCATTTGTTTATTAAGATTATTCACAAATATTATAAACTGTTATTTAGGTTTATAGTTTTGTTCAATTTTATACAATTATTATGTTTGATATTATGTTTGGTTATAACATCAATTGATAATAATTTAAAATATATTTTAGTTTTAAATCTATCGGTATAAATTTTATGAACTTGTAAATAATTTTACATTTATATTAATTACTTAGATATTGAAAAAAGTGAGAATAATAATACATATGAGTACATTTATATATTTAGTTACTACGATATATAATTCAATGTAATCTAGTATAAGTAATAATTATACTGTAATAAGTAAAAGTAAATAACTAGGTTAGATTTGATAAAATAATTAAATATAATAAAATAAACATTTTTGATCATTATTAATTAATATAAAATATTAATTACATAAAACAGTGTCCGGCAAACAGTTTCCTATTGAGCGCCATATTTCAACTTCAAATCCTATGCCCAATACTTATGGTAGTAATGAAATGGTCAACAAAATACGGGCTAATATTGAACACGTTAGCACTATTAACATCAACATTGTCAATAATAATACCCCGATTGTATCATGGTTATAAAATATTTCCACACGAATTGTGGCAAATGAGCGACATTTCCCTAATGAAGCAATCGTTGGCCAGATTTGTGTCATTCACCGATCAGTTTATATCAATTTTTATATTTGGTTTAATTATTGGATTTTTGCTGCGCGAGAAAAGTCACATTTTTACGTACATGGTCAAAAATAAAATACGCAGATTGTTTGGTACAATCATATGTTTTTCGATAACTATTTCCAGCATTATTTGGAGCGAGAATTTTAAAGATATAAATGTTGTGCCAAATCAAGTGAATTTAATTTTGTGGTACATTTGTGGCAAGTTTTTATGGTCAGCCGGTTTTATATGGATTATCATCATGGTTCAGTTTAGCAAAAATGGTAATATTTTAAAAAGCTTTATACGTTTATAAATATGTTAATTATTTGTATTTAATTAATTGTAGGAATCATCAATCAATTATTATCTACGAAAATATTTGCCGCAATTTGTAGACTTAATTTCGCTATTTATATGAATATTTTTACAATTGGAAACTTTCACGCGTTTACACGGCGTGAAAATATGGCCATCACTCATATAAATCAGGTTAGTAATTAAAATATGCTAAAATAATCTATAATTATTAACTGCTTGTACTTTATATTCGGCATTTATATTTTTAATTGCATGTAAATATTTATACACTATTACATTATAATTAAAATAATTTTAATAAAATCTATCTTATGTAAAAAACTGTAAAATAGATTTAACTCATAATTTATATAAAGGAGATGCTTATTGTAAATTAATTAATGGAAAATATCTTATCAAATAATAATTTAATTAATATTTATTTTGCAATTTAGTTACAGATCTATTACATTGATTTGACGGCCGCCGTAATTGTCTCGTATTTGCTATACTTATTGATTGACTTTCCGTTCATTAATATGTTGGAAAGTTTCAAAACACATACCAATCATAAAATTAATTCAACACTTTTGGATAATAATGATAATAATAATCACATTTATAATAAGCATAATAAAAATATCAACTTTAATATTAATGAATTAATAGTTTACAGCAAAAATAAGGATAAATATATTTGTGAATGAAATGTTTAACAAAAACAAAATATTATTTAAATTAGTTTTTTCAACACTGTATATATTTTTCATTTTACCCTTTTACTTTGATATTATTTGAATTAATTTTAGCCAATATTATTTGTTATTTAATTGTATTTTTGCTCAACCAAAAGAATTTATAATTATGCTTAAATATATTATTATGTGTTATATAATTATATTTTGTTTTTAAACTATTTATTAGCATAGATATACTATATATTGATCTCGGAATAATTATCTAAATAGATACTGCAATAAATTTGTTATTTCATAATTTTGATTAATTACAAGTAATTTTAATTAAATGATTGCATTCATTGTAAAATTATAAAATACTGTATTTATTTTACTGATATTTCTAGTTAATAAATAAATAAATTTTTAAATGTTTTTACAAATATAATTTTGTAAATTAAATTATACTTATATGTACAATTAATAATTAACAAATTCATTTTATATTGAGTTTATTTTATATGTCTATAATTTTAAAATATTTAACAAATTATAGTTATTATTACATTTTATTTAAGAGTAAGTATAGAAATATTATCATAATTTAAATTAGCATGTTTTCAAAATATAAAAATAACTTTGATTGTCTCGTATTTGTTATACTTATTGATTGACTTTCCGTTTATTAATTTGTTGGAGAGTTTCAAAACACAATTCAATCAATTATATATTAATATATTAATGCAAACAATTTTAACGTTAATAAAAATAATAGTGTTATTAATAATAATTGTAATCACAGTAAAGACAACGATATAAATGTCAATGAATTAATTGTTTACAGCAAAAACCAATACAAATTGTAAATATGTGTTTTAATGGATAAACTGGCAAAAAACATATTTAATAAATAAATGATATGTTTACTAAAATATAAATTTAAGTATGGAATGGAAATATAATTTAATTAAATAAAGTTTTATTTTTAAATATATTATAAATATTATTGAAAATGTAAGCATATTTTTAACCTAAATAAATTTGAATTGTTATGTGAAAATGTTATATAATATAATTCTATACATTTATCATTATTGTTTTGTTTATTTAAGTTTAATTACATGATCATTGATAGTTTCCAATATTATTTAGTTTAACAACAGGGAAAAATACTAAAAATACTTACTGTATGTATTGTAATACTAAAATAAACTTACAAATTAATAAAGTGTACAATGTCAAATAAGTTTACTAATTATTATTAAATATTATTTAGAAAATAATTAGTAAATATAATTATACATTGAAATAAAATGTTTTGATGTCCCAAACTTACAAAGATTATGATCTTTTGCAATTAAAATTATATTTATTAATATTATTTCATTAATAGTAACTTTCATTATTTATCAACTTGTATAATGTACATAATACAGAAACGCGATTTATTTAATTACTTAATCTAATCTACATTGATATAATCAACATCTTATATAAACAACATGTTAGAAGTTTGGCTCCACTTTTTATATTAACAATAAGTGGGAAATGTTTGTAAGTTATAATGAAATACAGTTAAAATATAATAATATATAATAGTTAAATTGCTTAATAAAATAAATTAAATAGTTAAAGTTAAACAAAATAATTATAATTAATAAATAACTTGAAATACACCGTAAATGCATACTAAACATCACAACACTAATATAGTGTTTATATACGGACCTACTATACAGTCTGTACTCGGTTTTGACAGACGCGTTAAATTCAAGTTTGTGTAAAATCTATTGTACAACAAACAATCCACAATCAAAAACAATCATAATGATTCAGCTCAAAATCACCATGATACATATAATCTTTATGGTTCATAGAAATGTAACACAAAAAATATATAAATCCGACACTATTTCTGTCAATACATTTATCCATCAAAAATATCTCACAATATCTCAAAAATATCTTATTTTACGACAAAAATAAAATCTCTCTCTCTCTCTCTCTCTCTCTCTCTCTCTCTCGAGTAAATATATTTTGATAAATTTTATTCAATTTATAAATCAGTAGATGTTTTGCGCTTTTATTTTTGGTTTTTCATTGAGTTTTTTAGTTTGAAAACCACACAAATCGATACGAGAGACGGAGAAATAGATTTTATTTTTGTCGTAAAATAAGATATTTTTGAGATATTGTGAGATATTTTTGATGGATAAATGTATTGACAGAAATAGTGTCGGATTTATATATTTTTTGTGTTACATTTCTATGTGAATTGTATTGGTATTAAAATGTGTGAATGACATGAAACCTATTTATTTGTTATCAAAAATTTCAATTCCTTTTTATCGTTGTATTAGTTTTA